CTTCTCCCAGTCAGTAGGTTGCCTTTTTGTCTTGGTGACAGTGTCCTTTGCTTTACAGAAGTTTCTCAGTTTTAGTAGGTCCCATTTATTCAATGTTGCCCTTAATGTCTGTGCTGTTGGGGTTATACATAGGAAGTGATCTCCTGTGCCCATCTGTTGGAGGGTACTTCCCACTTTCTCTTCTATCAGGTTCAATGTGTTGTGACTGATAGTGAGGTCTTTAATCCATTTGGACTTGAGTTTTGTGCATGGTGATAGATATGGGTCTATTTTCATTCTTCTACAGGTTGATATCCTTTTATGCCAGCACCATTTGTTGAAGATGCGTTCCTTCTTCCATTGTATACTTTTGGCTCCTTTATCAAAAATGAGGTGTTCATAGGTTTGTGGCTCAAAATTTGGGTCTTCAATTCGAATCCATTGGTCGACTTCTCTGTTTTTATGCCGGTACCACACTGTTTTCATCACTGTAGCTCTGTAATAAAGTTTAAAGTCAGGGATGGTAATACCTCCAGACAATCCTTTATTGTATAGGATTGTTTTGGCTATCCTGGGTTTTTTGTTTTTCCATATAAAGTTGATTATTGTCCTCTCAAGATCTGTGAAGAATTTTGATGGGACCTTGATGGGGATTGCATTGAATCTATAAATTGCCTTTGGTAGAATTGCCATTTTTACTATGTTGATCCTCCCAATCCAAGAGCAAGGTAGATCCATCCATTTTCTGGTATACTCCTCAGTTTCTTTCTTCAAAGACTTAAAGTTCTTGTCAAATAGATCTTTCACTTCCTTGGTTAGAGTTACCCCAAGATATTTTATGCTGTTTCTGGCTGTCGTGAATGGTGAAGCTTCTCTGATTTCCCTCTCTGCTTCCATATCCTTTGTGTATAAGAGGGCGACTGATTTTTTGGAATTGATCTTGTATCCTGCCACATTACTAAAGGTGTTTATCAGTTGTAAAAGTTCTTTGGTGGAGTTTTGATGGTCGCTTATGTACACTATCATATCATCTGCAAATAACGAAAGTTTAACTTCTTCCTTTCCAATTCGAATCCCCTTGATCCCATTATGTTGTCTTAATGCTGCTGCTAGAACTTCAGGCACTATATTGAAGAGGTATGGCGAGAGTGGACAGCCTTATCGTGTTCCTGAGTTTAGTGGGATGGCTTTAAGTTTCTCTCCATTTAATTTGATGTTAGCTATCGGTTTGCTGTATATAGCTTTTATTATATTTAGGTATGACCCTTGTATCCCTAATCTCTCCAAGACTTTTATCATAAAGGGATGTTGAATTTTGTCAAATGCTTTTTCAGCATCTAATGAAATGATCATATGGTTTTTTTCTTTCAGTTTATTTATATGCTGGATTACATTGATAGATTTTCGTATGTTGAACCAGCCCTGCATCCCTGGGATGAAGCCTAATTGATCATAATGGATAATTTTTCTAATGTGTTCTTCCATACGGTTTGCCAGTGTTTTGCTGAGGATTTTTGCATCGATGTTCATGAGTGAGATTGGTCTATAATTTTCTTTCTTGGTTGAGTCTTTGTGCGGTTTTGGTATCAGGGTAACTGTAGCTTCATAAAAGGAATTTGGCAATGCCTCTTCTGTTTCTATATTGTGAAATACATTAAGGAGGATAGGTATTAGTTCTTTTTGGAAGTTCTGGAAGAATTCCGCATTGAAGCCATCTGGTCCTGGACTTTTTTTGGTATGGAGGTTTTTGATAACCTCTTCTAATTCTTTGCTACTAACAGGTCTATTTAGGTTGTTCACCTGGTCCTGGTTTTACTTTGGTATATGGTATTTATCTAAAAATGTGTCCATTTCCTTTACATTTTCCAGGTTTGTGACATATAGGCTTTTATAGTAAGATCTAATGATTCTCTGAATTTCCTCTGTGTCTGTGGTTATGTCCCCCTTTTCATTTCTGATCTTATTAATTTGCAAATTCTCTCTCTGCTGTTTGATTAGTTTGGATAGGGGTTTATCAATCTTGTTGACTTTCTCCAGGAACCAGCTTTTTGTTTCATTGATACTTTGTATTGTTTTCTGTGTTTCTATTTTGTTGATTTCAGCCCTCAGTTTGATTATTTCCAGTCTTCTATTCCTCTTAGGTGAGTCTGCTTCTTTTTTTTCTTGAGCTTTCAGGTGGGCTGTTAAGTCTCCACTGTGAGCTTTCTCTGTTTTCTTTAAGTGGGCACTTAGTGCTATGAACTTTCCTCATAGGACTGCTTTCATAGTGTCCCACAAGTTTAAGTATGTTGTTTCTTTATTTTCATTGAATTCCAGGAAGACTTTAATTTCTTTCTTAATTTCTTCCTTAATCCAGGAATGGTTCAGTAGTTGACTGTTCAGTTTCCATGAATTTGTAGGCTTTCTGGGGGTAGGATTGTTGTTGAATTCTAACTTTAATCCATGGTGATCTGATAAGACACAGGTGGTTACTAATATTTTTTTGTAACTGTGGATGTTGCTTTGTTACCGACTATGTGGTCGATTTTTGAGAAGGTTCCATGAGCTGCAGAGAAGAAGGTATATTCTTTCCTATTTGGGTGGAATATTCTATAGATGTCTGTTAAGTCCATTTGCTTCATTACCTCCATTAATTCCCTTATTTCTCTGTTAGGTTTCTGTCTGATTGACCTGTCCATTGGTGAGAGAGGAGTGTTGAAGTCTCTTACTATTAGTGTGTGCGGTTTGATGGCTGCCTTGACTTTTAGCAATGTTTCTTTTATGTACGTGGGTGCTTTTATATTAGGGGCATAGATGTTCACGATTGAGACTTCATCCTGATGAACTGTTCCTGTTATGAGTATAAAATGCCCCTCTCCATCTCTTCTGATTGATTTAAGTTTGAAGTCAACTTTGTTAGAAATTAGTATGGCCACACCTGCTTGTTTCTTAGGTCCATTTGCTTGGTAAGCCTTTTCCCAGCCCTTTACTCTGAGTAGATGTCTATCTTTGTGATTGAGGTGTGTTTCTTGCAAACAGCAGAATGTTGGATCCTGTTTTCTTATCCAATCTCTTAGCCTGTGCCTTTTTGTAGGTGAGTTGAGTCCATTGACATTAAGTGATATTAATGACCAGTGGTTGTTAACTCCGGTCATTTTTTTTAGTCGTAGAGTTTATGTGTTTCCCTTTTTTTTTTTTTTTTGTGTATGTGAAGGGTCATCTAGAGATGTCTGAGTTATTGTGGTCATTGTTGGACTCCTTGGTTAGTGATTTTCCTTCTATTACTTTCTGTAAGGCTGGATTTGTGGCTATGTATTGTTTAAATTTGTTTTTATCCTGGAAAATTGTATTTTCTCCATTTATAGTGAATGAAAGCTTGGCTGGGTATAGTAATCTGGGCTTGTATCCATGGTCTCTCATTTTCTGCAGTACATCTATCCAGGACCTTCTGGCTTTCATGGTTTTCATGGAGAAGTCAGGTGTAAGTCTGATAGGTTTACCTTTGTAAGTAATTTGGCCTTTTTCCTTTGCAGCTCTTAATATTCTTTCCTTATTCTGTATGCTTTGTGTTTTGATAATTATATGGCGAGGGGATGTTTTTTTTTTTTTGATCCAGCCTATTCGGTGTTCTGTATGCTTCTTGAACCTTTATAGGTATATCTTTCTTTAGGTTGGGAAAGTTTTCTTCTATAATTTTATTAAATATATTTTCTGGACCATTGAGCTGCACTTCTTCTCCTTCTTCTACTCCTATAATTCTTAGGTTTGGTCTTTTTATTGTGTCCCATATTTCCTGAATGTTTTTTGATAAGAGTTTGTTGGACTTGCAATTTTCTTTGATCAGAGTGTTTATTTTCTCCATGGTATCTTCAGAAACTGAGATTCTTTCTTCTAACTCTTGTATTCTGTTGGTTATGGTTGTTTCTGTAGACTCTGTTTGTTTACTTAAATTTTCCATGTCCAGCCGGCCCTCTGTTTGTGTTTTCTTCTTTGCCTCCATTTCAGTTTTCAAGTCTTGAACTGTTTCCATTATCTGTTTGATTGTTTTTCCTTGGTTTTCTAGGGTATCATTCACTGATTTATTCATTTCTTCAAACTTTCTGTTATATTTCTCATCCATTTCTATAAGGGCGTTTTTTACATGCTGTTTAAGGGCATCAATCAGTGTCATGAAGTCAATCTTTACTACTTCTTCTTGATTAAGGTGTTCATGTCCTCCCGTTGTGAGGTCGCTGGTTTCTGGTGGCTTCATGTTGCTTTTCAGCTTGTTGGGCGAACTCTTGCCTTGGCGTCTGCCCATCTCTTCTTCCAAATGCTCCCTTATGGATCTTCTTTTACCGGATCAGGTCTCCTTATCTACCCAACAAAGGCTCTCCCCAACGTTGGCTCTTCTGGCGCCTAGAGATCAGTGCTGGTTGGGCAGGTCGCAAAGAAAGCGCCTACCCTGCTTGGTGCAGGCTGGCAATAGAAACAAAGGGACTCCCGCCCGCTTGGGTGCCCCGAGGATTTGGACTCAGTGCCCAGACAGTCTGGGCTGGGTGATTTTATGTGCCGAAAGAGGGCGGTGGGGCCGAATTAGGCAGGGTTCTGGATGGGAGCTGGGTGGGCTAGGAAGAAAGAGGCGGTATGCAGGGAGTGGAGGCCCTGCAGAGAGCCCAAGAAGGATAGGGGGCCAAGGAACCTCTGAGCTCCCCTTCCCAGGTGGCGCCGCGGGGCCAGAAATTCACCCCAATGCTGTCTCTCCTGGCGCCAAGAGATCTCTCTAAACTTTTATTTGTAATCATAGGAAAATTGTTCCTTGTTTCTGCAAAAAGATTTGAATACCTTTTTTCCATTCTCTTCAAGAACAGGAAAGTAGTTGTTTTGATTGTGAATTGCTAGACTTGATGGCGATCTGTCTGACTGAAATCTTTTCCTTGGGAAGTTAAGTCATGGGAAGCGTGTCATGTACATTCTCCTGATAGATGATCAGTTCTCTCATGGCAGAGAATTGGAGAAACCATCGCTTCCCCATTTCAAATGTAATTTGTTTTTTTATTTAGGTGCCTAGAAGCTTGCCTTATTTTGCCGTAGAATTTGGCCTTCACGGGGGATTTGCCCACGTCATTGAAGATCAACACAAATTTCCTCGTTACTTTGGAAAGGTATACTCAGAAATTTGATAAAACACTGAAGTTTAGTGGTTTTGTTAATGTTTTCACAAAAGTATAAAAGAAAATTTAAGTTTGAACACAATATACAAGAATTTGGTGAGTTATTCTCTATACAGGTTTGAGAGAGAGGGGTGGGGTTTAAGAGGTAACAATAAAAATATACCAGAATATTCATGATCACGTCAGAGATATTATTGTGACAGTGTTCTCAGTCTTAATAACTGTAATGCTTTTCTGACTTTGAAATCAGACAGCTTTGTTCTGAAAAAATGTGATATTTATTAAGGGCTTACTGTGTGCCTATCTACTAGTGTCCAAGCAGTCATCTAGTGCTCACAGTAACCCTGTTGTCTAGATTTTGATCTAAATTTTGTTATACAGATTAGAAAACTATAAATTGCAGAGAGGCTGTGTAACTTGCCTAGGGTTATGTGCTATATGAGAGAACCCAGGTACCCTAGGTTATAGTTATTGGAGAGAATAAATAGTTTCAGCTCTTCATTTATAGTTAAAGTATAATCCAGAACAAATAAATGACCCATTTCACACAGTTAAGTTCTGGGCACATATGAAAGAAAATCCTAGTCGTTTGACTGCCAGTAGTTTTTTTCAGGGAAGAAAAAAAAATGCCTTTTTCAGAGTATATTCCTTAAATTAGAGGACTCCTTAACTACGTATCTAAAGTCTTGTTAGGAACTGGAATGGAATTAATAAGGCATTGCAAATTGGCAAAATGAATCTGGGCCTAGAGCAGGCCTTCTCATATCACTTCTATGTGTCTGTTCATCTAGAGAGAGGGTTCTGTGAATTCATAATTGCCCACCCTGCTTCCTCTTCTGCCCTACTCTCATCTGCATAAGATAATCTTCTACAGTCAATTGGGATGTGCCAAGAAGAAACAGAGCTGTTGCCCTTAACAAGCACCCAGATTCTAAAATCACATTCATTTTTGAATTATTGCTTATAGACTCTCACATGACCCAACCGGATCTTGAATTTACCACATAGCTGAATATGTCTTTGCAATCCTGATTATCCTACTTCCACCTCCTGATGTGAGTTTCCATCATGCCTGTTTTTATATATAGTCTTAGGCATCAAACCCACAGCTTCATGCATGTCAGGCACATACTCTACTACTCGACCTACCAACTGGGTTCTAGCCCATCCCTTGTTTGAGAAGTTTGCAGAATTTTTTTCTACAGAATTAACAAAACAAATAAAAACCAAAGCAACAACAAAGAACAACTTTGTTTGCACTGCTCTGAAAAATTCTGTTGTTGTTCCCTAGAGATTTTTAACTGCTCTTTAGCTTTGGATTTGGAGCTCTCGATTCATAGTTTTACAGATTGTTTTCTAGAGGAAAGGACACCATTCACCCATTGTTTTACTTTTTCAATTTTCATTGGGTGAATTGTCTCCCCTTCAAGTATTACTCAGGCATTGTGGTTTTAATATTGAACAGGCAATTTCCCCATGGCTCAGAGCATCCTTGTCATGAACTACTTTCTATCCTCCTTTGACTTGCTCCCCAAGAAATTATTCAGAGAACACTGGAAAATAGTCTCTTTTGCAGTAAGAGAATGAGAACCTATCTTGCATTGTCAAATAATGCATGCAGTGGTCTAGAGATAGTTTCAGACAGACACAAACTACCCTTTCTCAGACTGTAGTGTTGAAATGGCATGATGCCAGGAAACTTGGACTAAATCTGAATTTGTCCAGTCTCTCCTGAGGTCATAAGCAGAGGACTTTCTTAGTGATGGGTGATTCCCTTTTCTGATTTATCCAACAAGTAGGACATTCGTTTGTTTGTTTTAAATGTCTTCTGGTCTTTGCCACCTGCCTTTTCCAACCATGTAACTGAGACTTTATTATTCTGGTTCTCACCACATCTCCATATTCTCTTATGAGCTCTCTGATGACATATTATTTATCTTTATGAGCAAGGAAATTAAATTTCACTTTCTTTATCCTTTTTGCTACCATTAGATAGATAAACTAATGAGCAACCAAGCAGACAAATTGCTTCACAAGAGACACCACAAGTACTCTCAGGATCACAGAATTTCTAGTTAAGATTGTAAATAAGGTTTTTTGCTTGAAACTAATATGTAATGTATGTACATTGTCACAAAGAATTAATTAATAATATGTTTAATAGGAGAATTAATGAGTAGTTCCATTCTTGATTGCATTGTTTGTACATGTATACTTTCATATTTTTCTTACTCTTTAAAAGGAAATCATTGGTGGTATGCTGGATCTAGAGCCCAGGCTTTGGAAGAAGGGCATCAGAGAAAGCTTTGAGGACCAGAGGAAGAAAGCATTGCAGTTTGCTCAGTGGTGGAAACCATTTGATGTCACCAAAAGTAAAAGCTGTTAAGTGTACCCTGCATGTGTTGTTTCCTCTGCTGAACTCATTCAGTTTATATCTATTATATTTACAAGCAACTTTGCCTTGATCCCTAGGGAAAACAGCTGGCTACTCTAGTCACTGACATCCATGTTAGGTCAGACTGTTTTCTTCCACTTAGTTTGAGTGATAGTGGAATAAGAGCAGATGTATCAGGATTATTGGTACAAGTTCCTTTTGTATCTAACTTCTAGCTGTTCCAGTTGTTTGCTTACCCTAGAGAAGGACTTGTCTCCAGAGGTCTAATAAGACTTCAGTGGAAAGTGGATCTGCTTCCAGGTAGAGTCTGGTAGCTTCTTTTGTGCTTTTTATAGAAAATTAGATGTATTTAGAACTAACAGGGTTATTTTCATAGTTTTATTAAAGGGGTCTTTTTCCTTTTTTTAAATAGTAGTGTATAATATCATCTTTGTTAAAGAAAATGATTAAAGAATTAAATGATAATGAAATATACATAAATGGAAATGTGTTTTTAGTTCTGGACCTTAAAATAACTTGAATTTTGGTAATCCAAAAATAATTGTCTTAAACAGCACAATTCTTAATTGTTTGGGGTTTGTGTAAAGTTAAATTCTGTAGCCAAGTCACTGTATTGGTTTTTAATATTGTCATAAATTTCAAATGATACAAATATCCAAGAAATGTTCTTAATAAAAGTGCTTAAGTTTTATTATTCTCAACATCTGATTTTGAGAAAACCTTGTGTTTATAAAATATGTGTTGTAGTAAGTCTTATTAAAACATATTTTCAAAAAGTCAAGCTGTGATATTTATAATAAAAATGTTAGTGCTTGGAATAAGAGTGAAGTTTACTCTAGAGTTAACCTATTATGCATTTATTTTAACGTCTCACTGTCACTTTTTCGGTGTATGTTCCTTGTATGTTAAAAGATAGCTATTTTTGTTCCTTTCATATTTTCCAAATAATGGTAAAGCTTACTGGTTTTGATTTTCAGTACTTAATACATCAAAGTGTGTATATGTATATATATAGTGTATTATGTATAATAAACAGACAGTATGATTGTGTTTTCAAGCTATTAGCTTTGTCTCAAGTTTTAAATGAATTTAAAACTTTCATTTTTATAATTAGTGAGTTAAAATGTTTGTTAATAGTTCAAAACATATGAATACTCCTGCCTTAAATTCTACTGTATTTATAATATGTGCATTCCAAATGAACTCTTTTTGTCTTGGCCCCGGTTACTTATTGATGCACAGTCAATTTCGCTAAACCTCAGTGGCTTCAAGTAATAACTTATCTTGTACCTTATGGTTGGCACTTTTAGTGATTTGCCCTTTCCTTATGATATCTAGGTCCTCAGCCAAAGTGGCTTAAACATCTGGAGATTGTAGTGATAAGGCCAGCAGGCCTACTTTTTCCTGCTCGGCTCCCGCACGGCCTCCCCGCCACCATCTCCCATTTCCCTTCCCCTCCCCCGACAGCCCAAAGAGCAATCAGGGTTCCCTGCCCTGTGAGAAGTCCAGGACCACCCACCTCCATCCAGGTCTAGTAAGCTGAGCATTCAAACTGCCTGGGCTCCCACAAAGCCAGTACGCGCAGTAGGATCAAAACCCATTGTCATTGTTCTTGAGTTCTCAGCAGTCCTCATTGTCCGCTATGTTCAGCAAGTCCGGTTTTATCCCATGATTTTTCAGACCCAGGCCAGCTGGCCTTGGTGAGTTCCCGATAGAACATCCCCATTGTCTCAGTGTGTGGGTGCACCCCTCGCGGTCCTGAGTTCCTTGCTCGTACTCTCTCTCCATCTGCTCCTAATTTGGACCTTGAGTTTTCAGTCCAGTGCTCCAATGTGGGTCTCTCTGTCTCTGTCTCCTTTCATCGCCTGATGAAGGTTAATATTCAGGAGGATGCCTATATGTTTTTCATATAGGTTCACCTTATTTAGCTTCTCTAGGATCACAAATTATAGGCTCAATGTCCTTTATTTATGGCTAGAAACCAAATATGAGTGAGTACATCCCATGTTCCTCTTTTTGGGTCTGGCTTACCTCACTCAGGATAGTGTTTTCTATTTCCGTCCATTTGCATGCAAAATTCAAGAAGTCATTGTTTTTTACTGCTGAGTAGTACTCTAATATGTATATATTCCATACTTTCTTCATCTATTCTTCCATTGAAGGGGATCTAGGTTGTTTCCAGGTTCTGGCTATTACAAACAATGCTGCTATGAACATAGTTGAGCATATACTTTTGTTGTACGATAGGGCATCTCTTGGGTATATTCCGAAGAGTGGTATTGCTGGATTCTGGGGTAGGTTGATCCCGAATTTCCTGGGAAACCGCCACACTGCTTTCCAAAGTGGTTACACAAGTTTGCATTCCTACCAGCAATGGATGAGGGTACCCCTTTCTCCACATGCTCTCCAGCAAAGGCTATCATTGGTGTTTTTTATTTTAGCCATTCTGACAGGTATAAGATGGTATCTTAAAGTTGTCTTGATTTGCAGTTCCCTGATCGCTAAGGAGCATGATCTTAAGTGTCTTTTGGCCATTTGAACTTCTTCTGTTGAGAATTCTTTGTTCAGCTCAGTGCCCCATTTTTTAAAGCCTTTTATGGTCTAGTTTCTTGAGTTCTTTATATATTTTGGAGATCAGACCGTTGTCAGTTGCGGGGTTGGTGAAGATCTTCTCCCAGTCAGTGGGTTGCCTTTTTGTCTTAGTGACAGTGTCCTTTGCTTTACAGAAGCTCCTCAGTCTCAGGAGGTCCCATTTATTCAATGAGGCCCTTAATGTTTGTGCTGCTGGGGTTATATGTAGGAAGTAGTCTCCTGTGCCCATGTGTTGTAGAGTACTTCCCACTTTCTCTTCTATCAGGTTCAGTGTGTTCGGACTGATATTGAGGTCTTTAATCCATTTGGACTTGAGTTTTGTGCATGGTGATAGATATGGATCTATTTTCATTCTTCTACAGATTGACATCCAGTTTTGCCAGCACAATTTGTTGAAGATGCTCTCTTTTTTCCATTGTATACTTTTAGCTCCTTTAGAGAAAATCAGGTGTTCATAGGTTTGTGGGTTAAAGTCCGGGTCTTCTATTCGATTCCATTGGTCGACTTCTCTGTTTTTATGCCAATACCAAGCTGTTTTCAATACTGTAGCTCTGTAGTAGAGTTTGAAGTCAGGGATGGTAATGCCTCCAGACGATCCATTGTTGTGTAAGATTGTTTTGGCTATCCTGGGTTTTTTGTTTTTCCATATAAAGTTGATTATTGTCTTCTCCAGATCTGTGAAGAATTTTGATGGGATTTTGATGGGGATTGCATTGAATCTATAGATTGTTTTTGGTAGAATTGCCATTTTTATTATGTTGATCCTCCCAGTCCAATAGCGGACCATTTTCTCTACATGATACCTTCAGAATAGTTGGATTTCTTTTCTTTCTTAAAACTCTCCCGGAGAAACTATTACACAGAAAATCTTTAAGAAGTGGTATGTGCCAGTTCCCAAGGCAGAACCCAGATATAGATACAACTTGATATTTGTGTATTATGTTTGTCAAACTTGACTTAGAGCCTACCTACATTTAAGAAAAGGAGTAGGGCCCAGCATGGTATTGAAAGTCTTTAATCCCAACACTCAGGAGGCAGGCAGGCAGATCTCTGTGAGTTCAAGGCCAGCCTAGTCTATGTAGTGACAGGCAGTACTACAGAGAGACATAGTCTCAAAAAACCAAAAAACAAGCAAAACAATAAAAAGGGTGGTGAGTGTCACAATCTTGCCTTTGATGGAAGAAATGTGAAATGTGTGGCCATTTTTATTTCACTTCCTCTTTATCTACAAATTTACTTTTCTTTCCTGTAAAACAGGTATGTTCAAATACTCATAAGGATACCTCATTGCAGTGGGGTTTTAGGTTTTGAATTATGCTTTAGGATCTCACCTAAAGCAAGATGGAGATAAAAAGCTATTGAGGTGTTTATCTGAATACCTGTATACTTAATTACCTGCACTCTTCCCACGCACATATGCTTTTAAATCTACAGCACTGACAGAAGAATATATTAATTTACAAGACAGCCATCAAACAGGAAGGAAGGCAATCGGGAGAAATGTTGTCAGTCCATATTCTCTAGAGAGTTTGAAATTAAATTGGGCATGTTGTTTTTCTATGTTAGAGCCTCAGTCTGTTCTTGAGAAGACTTTAGTTTTCTCCTCTGTTTTTGGTGCTCTTCATATACCTAAGTTGACTTTTTTGTATAAGAATTTGTTCAAGAATTATACGTGGAGACAAAATAGGATGACTATGTTGCCTTCCTGCCTAAAATCACCAACAAACAACATAAACCATGATTTCCCGGTAAGGACAATCAGAATCATGAAACAGAGTTTGGTGATCACTGAGAGATAGGAAGTAAGTGGGAAGGCTTCTCTAGGTTGTGTCCTATCACTTTGAGTATGTCCATAAAGTAGGGGATCTAGGATGAGCCTGCTGTGTTTTTCATTTTGTATATGAGGAGGCTTTCTTTGGCTAAAGTTTTACCTACTTGAGAGTTAGCCGTATTTTATGTTTTATTTGCTAGAATGTAAAAATATGTGCTTGACTGGGGTTGGGGAGACAGAATGTTAGCTCACAGTGTGAAATAATAGCTGTGGTAGTTTAGAATTACTGCTTCAAGTCTGAATTTTGAGATCTAGTTTTGAGAAACATAGCTTAGAAGAGGTAAAGGTATCAAACTGTTTCCAAGAAACTTAATTGCAGTGTAGAACAAAGCTTAAAAGTAAAAGAAAAACAATTCCATTAGTCAGAACATGTTGAGATGCCCAGAGTCCAAAACAAAACAAAACAAAAAACAAACAAACAAACAAAAAAAAAAACCGTGCAAAGCACCAAAATGCCAACTGCTTGGATAAATGTGGTTTTTCCCTTATAAGATTATATGATCAAAAATAATGAGAAATTTATCTAAAAGTAAAATCACAAATAGTAGTGAAGATGTGTGAAGGAAAGTTAAAGAAGTTAAAGAAGTTGTAAGATTGTTGCTCTTTTATAGAAGTGTTAATAATAACTTGAATATAGACTTTGGTAAGTTAAAAGTTCATAAATACAATTTCTACAGAAGACCTTAAGATTAAAAGAAAAATATAGTTGAAAGAGCCAATAAAAAAAGATAAGATAAATATATCAGAAAGAAGAATATAAAGCATGGTGTAAGTAGGACAAATAAAAAACATAGATTTAAACCTTCACATACCAATAATAAATTTCTCTTTTTGTGTAGCAAATTTTCATGAGGCTAGATGCTTAACAGCAACATGTTTTACATGCTTTCATAGCATCTGTGCCAGGATATCAGGCAAGGTGTCAACTTAGTCAAGGTTGTGACATTGCTAGACAGGACAGAGTTCTTTCTCTGGAGACTGCCCTCGGTAAAGATCTACTTCTTCATGTATGTGGTTGTTTTCTACATTTGTATTCTTTCAAACAGTAGGATAGCTTCATGTGTTTTCTGTGCTGTTGACTATTTATTAACAGTGCTTCACTTTATGTTTCCCAACATGACTGGTTGCTTCTTCACACCCAATTGAGTGTCTTGATGTGGGAGTGTCATATATCAATCTGTTGATTGCATTGGTTAAGCAATAAAGAAACTGCTTGGCCCTGATAGGTTAAAACATAGGTGGGAGGAGTAAACAGAACAGAATGCTGGGAGGAAGAGATAGTGAGCTCAGAGATGCCATGCTCCCCTCTCTGGAGAGATGCGATAGCTCTGCTCTCTGAGGCACACGCGATGAAGCTCCGACCCAGGATGGACGTAGGCTAGAGTCTCCCTGGTAAGCCACCTCGTGGGCTACACAGATTATAAGAAATGGGCTAGTCCAGGTGTGAGAGTTAGCCGAGAAGAGGCTAGATATAATGGGCCAAGCAGTGTTTAAAAGAATACAATTTGTGTGTTGTTATTTCGGGGCATAAGCTGGCAGGCGGCCGGGGTGCTGGGGACGCAGTCCCGCTGCTCCTATTACTACAGTATCTGAGGGATCTGATAAATTACTACTATAGTAAGGTATTAAGGTAATCACATAATGACTTGAACAAAATCATATATACATCCTATCACCACTGCTATGTCTTGTTGATTGGAAGTAAACCACAAATCTTCCCTAAACCCAAAGTATCTGTATACACCATAATCAGCAAGTGTCAATCCCTGTGAGCTAAGAAATAAATCCTGTTCAACATAACTCAGCTGGTATTGATTCAAACTTTGAGAGAAAAAAGTTTCCTGATGATAGTTAATTGCATGTGTACAACAAAGACTAAGATATGAGTACAT